GGCCAGTGTGTCTGCCCGGGTCTCGAGGGGCTCCTGTGTGTACACGTGTGTCCATGGCAGTGAGCCAGGGACCACCGCCTGCCCGCCCCCGCCCGGAACCCAGCCTCCTCTCCTGTCTCTGCTGCCCTGATGCTTAGTGGGCAGCCCAGGACCGTACCTCTTGTCCTGCGCCCACGCCCTGCCCAGGACCAGGCGGTGCAGGGTCGGGGTGGGGCCAGGAGTGGGGCACTTACTCCTTTGCCCTGGCACCCGCCACACCCTGTCTGTCCCATAAGAACTTGCTCCAGGGTGGAGCTGCCGGGGGAGCGGGTCTCCAGACTGGCCGCCCCCGGGGGCCACCTGTCCCTCGGGCCGTCGCGGGCGCTTTGGGAAGTGTTGGCCAGGGAGTCCCCTCTGATTGCAGCTGCCCGTGACAGGGAGCGGGCGGGTGGGGTGATGACAGGGTGTGGGGTGTCTCCCACGACGGAGACCTGACCGCCCTCCTGTGTCACCTGTGACCTGCCTCCCACAGCCACGCCTGCCTGGCCACCGGCCTGACCCCTACAGGAGAGAGAAGCTGCCGCCTTTTTAGGAGCCGTGGTCACCGTGCGACAGAAAGGGAACCGGAGGGATGCCATCACGTGGCGGGCGGGGCCCAGCCCGGCTGCGCCAGAGCCCGGAAGTGCCACCGCACCATCACCCAGGCGTCTCCCACAGTGTCACGCCCACACCGCACGGGACGCGCCCCTGGACCACCGTTGCCGCAGCGACTTCTTAGAGGAGATTTCGTTTATTTGTACATCTTTTGCACTTTCCTGTTGAAGACTTGAACCCATTTGTCTAGATAAAAGTGGAGTGGCGTACGGAGGAGTCAGGCCTGCGGCTGCGTCTGTCCTCGGGCCCCGGGCCGGACGGAGCTCCCGGAAGCCCCGCCACAGCCCTGGACGTGGCCCAGCTGGGACGACGAAGCGTCTGCCCCGGAGCTCTTGGTGCGCCTGCCCCCTGTCCCTCTGCTCTGCCCCCGGCCCCCGCGGGGTCCCCAGTGCCAGGCGGGTCAGGACTGGGGGGCAGCTGCCCAGCCCAGCGGTGGAGACGTGGCTGATGCCCAGGTTAGGGCAGTGCACACCGTCGCCCCTCCCTGCCAGGGCTGGAGGTGGCCACCAGGTCGGCGCCGTCTCCTTGGGGGAGGGGCCGTCAGCAGGTGTCTGCGCTGGACTCTGTCAGCGTGCACCGCTGGCGGCGGGGCAGAGACCCCAGCATGCCCGCAGCGTGGGGTGCGGGGCCCTCACCTCGGCCCCACCCACATAGCGGTCAGGGGCGGGCAGTTGTTAGCATCGTAGCTGAGGGGTCACAGCAGCTCGGAAGGTGGCCCGGGAGCCCGTGGCCCCGCCCGTGCCCTGGGAGGCTGTCCCACCACGTTTAGGTCTGCGGAGGTGGAGTAGGCAGGCCACCCCCCAGAGCATGGACTTACCCCTGTTTTTGTCTATGGCGAGGCTTTGATCCAGGCACTTGTCACCCTGCGCACGGCCGCCGGTGCCCTAGATACATTCTCAGAGGGCAGAGCTCCGCCTGGGGGCAGGCGACGTGCCCTGCCAAGTGCCCCAGGTTTCCTGCCTGTGTCCTGGCCCCCCTCTGCCTGGGGGGTGGTCTCATGTAACGGCCCCAAGGGTGGGGTCAGGGGCGGGCCAAGCCCAGCCTGTCCGTCTGACGCTTGACCTGGATTTCGGAGCCTTGGGTTTCCTGGGGTTAGACCCCTGTTTGAGTGACAGGCAAGTTGGGCCTGCGATGGGGGTGCCAGTAGAGGGTTGGGCTCAGCCCCCTGGGCCAGGGCTCGGGCAGGATTTGGTGGCTCACCTTGGGGACGACGGGGCGATTGGCCGGCCCTCACAGAGCCCTGGACGTCCTCATCTGTAAATGGCTCTCTCTGACCCTGGAGGGCTGGACCCCCAAAGCCCCTCCCGTCCAGGCGGCCGTGTACTCCATCCCGATCCAAACCTCCTAGGCAGACCCCGGCCTGGCATTGTGGGCGGCCGGGGTGGGGCGGGGCCCGAAGTGGCCTGCGGGTTTCCGGGACACACAGGCGTCCGCGGCTGACCCTGCCCCCAGGACTGGCGAGGTCCGCCCCGCTCACTGTGGTTCACGTGCGTGTGTGTCCCCCGGTCAGTGCCTCCCTGCAAAGACTCCCGGCTCAGGCCACAGGTGAGGTGACCTCCACGAGCCCCGCTCCACCCAGGGCCCGGAAGTGCCCCCTTCCTGCGGCCAGTCTCGTTGGGAACAGGGCTGGCCTCCCTGGCCACGGCAGGCTGGGAGGCACGTGGCAGCGGGACGGGCATCTGCGTTCCCTCTGCTCCAGCTCCAGGGCCTGGGGCCCCTTCCTTCCTCCCCTTCCTCCTAGGGGGCCTCTGTCCCCTCTGTCCCTCCGTCTCCACACCCTTCCCCCGCCTGGCCAGTGTCCCCTGGGCTCTCCTCGCTGGGCCGCAGCCAGGCCCCCACAAAACACCCGGCCCCCGCGCTGCTAGTACCGAAAGGGGCTCCGCTCTCTGTGACCGGCACCCCGAGGCCCGGGAGGGGCTGAGGAGCTTTGGGGAGTGAGTTTCTGCTAAGTGCTTTGGGAGAGAAAAAGGATCTTGAGAAAGTGTTCTTCTTGGTTTATCCGTTATCTCCGCCCCAGGCGGTGGCCGGCGCCTCCAGGCCGCGTTTGGTTTTCGCTGCTGGCAAAAGGAGGGTTGCGGTGAGCAGTCGCAACCCCGACGTGCCAGCCGGCGGTTTTGTTTCCAGCCACCTTATTATTTAAACCAGTGCCGAGTAGGCTTTCTGTTGAACCGCCTTTGGGCCGCAGTCTCCGAAAGCGTGGCCTGCTGTGCTCCCCGGCAACCAGGGGAGTTCGGGTTGGACTGAGGAGTCCGGATGGCCCCGCTCCACACGCCTGCCACGGAAGCCCATCCCCAGATCCTGTGTCAGGAGACCTGCCCTGCAGGCCACCTTCAGAAGCTCCTGTTTTCTGCAAATTGCGACCGAGGTCCTGCTGGGGCCCACAGCTGGTCCAAGTGCCGCCTCCACCAGGGGCCCCTTTCTAGGGGCCTCGAGCGGCTCCCCGGTCCGGGCCGGGGGCTGGCCAAGTCTTGCCCCGGTGATGGCTGGTCCTCGTTCCTAGGTGTTGGGTTCCAGGGCTCTTGTGGGCCTGGCGGGGCTCAGGGACTGGGGAGCAGGCGGCCCGTGGAGCGTGGTGGCCGGGAAGGGGTCTGGGCGGGTGCGGGGGCTGAGGTTCCGGCCTGGGGTCACCCACCGCCCCTGTGGCTGTCCTGTGCCCCGCACCGTCTTCACGGAGGGAGTCGGCTCAGCCCCATTTTATATTTCCGGAAGTTTACAGGTTGTGGTAGATCAGCCCAAAGTCATTGGCGTTGTTTTGGATTTTTTTCTTAAGTTTTTCAGATTTTTTTTTAAACAAAGTATTTTTTTAGGTGCGATAACCCAGAAAGGGCCCGTCGGGTGTGTGTGTGTCCTGAACCCCGGCCACTGAGATGGGAGCCTGAGCCCCTGAACCTGGAAGCAAGGGAGGGGACCCCCACCCCAGCGGCGTCTGGCCAGCGGAGGGGCGGGGCCCCTGGCCCCGGGGCAGCCCCCCGCCCACCGATGGGCTGGGGACGCTGCGGGTGGGCTGGAGGGTCCCAGCGGGGAGGGTCCCGGCTGGGGGATGGGGCTGGAGCTTCAGAAGCTGAGTCCCTACTGTAAGTGGCGACCTGTCCCGCCCTCGGGAGGACGTGTGGGACGCGCGACAGTCGCCAACACGAGCCCCTTCACTTTGTACTCTGCGTGTATGTCTTGGTTTTCTGTGTTTTAATAAATCCTTTGGGAAAGGACCGAATCCGAGTGTTTTCTGGCGGTTCTCGCTCATCTGGCATGGGGGCGAGGGCGGGGGGCCGGAGGGGGTGGAGGGGGAGCGGGGAGCTGCCTGAAGCCACATCCTGCCTGAGAAGACACGGCCTGATGGGGCTCAGGATCTCGCTGGGAACGAAGGGCACCCTGAGGAGGTGCCTCCCCCTCCCACCTGCACCCCTAAACACACCCCACTGACCCCCTCAGGCCCCAGCCCGTCCCCAGAGGACACAGCATCCTCCCAGCAGCCAGAGAGCGTGTGTTGGGAGAGATGGGGATGGGGGGTCTCGGTCCCCAGTCCCTGCCCTCCATGGCCCGTCCCTCCCCACCACCCTTGGCCCCAGACTTTGGGGGCCATGTGCTGAATGGTGGCCGCCCTCCGCCCCGTCCCCACAACTGCCCAGCCCTGACCCGAGCGCCGGAAAGGAAGGGAGCGGGAGGCCGAGGACCCGATGGGCGTGGGTTTTATTGTCATTCCATAAATACGGTGCCGGTGTCTTGGAGAGTTGTTTGGAAGCGCGAGGTGGGCTGTCTCGCCTGCGGAGGGGGCGCAGGCAGCGGAGGAGCCACGGTCATCGAGGGAACCGGGCGAGAGAGAGCGCGTTGTCGACGGACAGAGGACAGAGGGAGCCCACCGCCTCTGGCCACGGGTGTCAGGGGCCAAGGCTGGGGCACGGGGTTGGCGGGGGCAGGGCGGATCCAGCCCTGGGTCCCGGGCCAGCCTCATCCTGTGTTGGGCACCCCCAAGGGCAGGGCCAGAGGCGGCGGGAGGCTGGCCCACCTCCGGGCAGCGCCCAGGCCGCTGCCCGCCCGTTCGGGGCCACCTTGCCTGGCTCTCCCCTTTCTAGGCTCTGACTGCCCTTGCGCTTCCCCCCAACTTCCTCTCCCCTCTCCAGCTCCCTCCTAAGCAGGGGCTGTCCCCCAGAAAGCAGAGCCCCATCCTCCCTGCCATGGCTACGGAAGAACAGGACACCTCAGACCCAGGCTGAGGCCGCTGGGTCCTGCCGAGCTCCACCCTGGGGGCCCTGGTCTCCCTCTGTCTGGCCAACGAGCAGCCAATGGCTCGGCCTTCCCAGGTGCGGCTTGTGTGGCAGCAGTCCCCGCCTCTGGCCTGCTGCCCTCTGGCCCCTGTTGCAGCAGGGGGCGGCAGTGGGGAGGGGCCCGGCCGCTCTCCCCAGGGAGGGGTGGGTCCGACGCAACGCCCACCAAGGGCCTGTCCACGGAGCAGCGCCCTCCCCACGCCCGCGGGGTGACGTTTGTAGGAGACTCATGGAGGAGAGCCCCGAAGGCCCGGTTCACAAGGAAGGGGAAGGTTTTAGACTCTGGGGTCTGCACAAAGGTCAGGGGTGAGGAAAGCTGTCTGCCCGCCCCCCTTGCCCCTGAGGTTCTCTCCAAGCGTCCCCGGGCCTCGGCCCCGCCAGGACTGCGGCAGGCCCTCTGACAGCGGCAGCCTCGGGGGCGGCGGCGGCTCTGGGAGCAGGACCCGCTTGCCTGCCCCCCGGGGCGCGCGTCAGGCTGTGGGGGTGCCCGGGGGGCCGGCTGTCCGCCCTGCCCTTCCTCTGTCCCCAGTGTCCTGCCGGCTGGGGGGCGCTGTGAAAGCGACATCCTCCCTTTCCCAGGGTGTGGGGCGCCCCGGGGTGGCGCTGCTGCCCTTCTGCCTGGATCCCAAGCTCTGAGCAGAGACACTTAGCACCTCGAGGGGGCCAGGCCAACCCCGCATGACCTGATGCCTCACAAGGGCTCCTCTCTGTAGGGGGGCTCCTCTCTGTAGGGGGCCTCCCGGGGCCTTTGCCTCCGCGGGGGGCTGCTGCTGGGTGCATCCTGAGGGCTGTGAGCCTGCTCTCCCCAGACCCCAAGGCCACCGGGCAGAACGGACACCGGCTCCCCCGCAAGTGGTCAGCAGCCACCATCTAGCTCAGCACGCACAACCCCGGGGCCCCCTGGGGCAAGGACAGAGGGGCAGCGGACTGGGTGCCTGGCAGGGAGGGCAGGTGAGGCCCTGGAGGGACCGGGGCTGGAGCCCACTCCACAGGGCCCCCGACCCCGGGTGTGCCGACTGCCCCAGCCGGGGCCCATCTGCTGGGCAGGGAGCAAGATGTGGGGCGATGAACTTGAAATCAGACCCCCAAGCTTTTCGCGGGTCCCAAACTGCAGAGCCAATCTCCCGGACCCCTGCCCGTGCCAGGCAGGGAGGAGGCAGGGGTCAAGGGATGGCAAGAAATGCCCTCAATGACCCCCTAGGGCGGATGGCGGTGCAGAAGGGGAGGGGCAGCATCTGAGGTCGGGCCCATCGGAAAGTACCTGGAGCCCCTGGTCAGAGGGAGACCCCGGGGGAAGGCCCAGCCCCTACGTCCAGGGCCCTGCAGAAGGGCCACAGGAAGACCGGGCGGGGCTTCCTCTTCCCTTCCCCCAACACCAGGTGGGGGCTCTCGGCAGAGGAGAGGCCGGCCCTGCCTGCCCCCAGGCCCCGCTGGTCCTCCTGGCCTGGACTCGAGGGGTCCCCAAGAAGGACCTCGGCTGGGAGAAGACGTGCTGGTTTCTTCTTGGAGGGTGAGCAGAGGCCGCAGGCTTGGGGGGAACCCCTCGACCTCCGTCCAATCATCAGTACCGTCTCCCCGGCACAAGGTGGGCCCCGCGGAAGCAGTGGATGGTGTGTTGCAGCGACTTGTGGGATGTTTTCCCGATGACATCTTGGCGCATTGTTTTCTTTTTGATGCAAACCACATTCTTGACTTGGCTTCAAAACAGCTTAAGCAAGCGGACGACAGAGAGACTGGGGGGGACGGAACGTGTCCGGGCGGCAGCGGGCATCTTAGGACCTGTAGTCCTTTTTGCTGTAGGGTTTATTGCCCAAAATACTATCAATCTCGTGGACGATGGAAGACGACAGTTTGGGGAGGACCTGTGGGCCGAGACAAGAGCAAATGAGAACGCAGCCCAGCCGGGTGCCAAGCGGGGGGCGGGGGGGCCGCGGGCAAGGGGCTCCCTGACCCCCGCCCCGCCCCGCCCGCCTGCCAGGCCCGCCCGCGGGCCCGTGCACCCGATGAGCCCCAGCTGAAGCAGACAGCCTGCGCGGCTTTTGATTCGCGGCCGTTTGGGGCGGAGAGGAGGCCTGCCCTGGTTTATACGTGGCCCCTCAAACTTCAGACCCTCCAGGACGGCACAGAGCGCGGACCCCATGGCCAGACCCCTGGCTTCCAGCCCCTGAACTGCCGTCCCCAGCCCCCCGCCACTCATCTTCCAGGGACATAACCCAGGCGTGTCTCTGACACGCTGCTGCACTCCCAGTGTGTGGCCGGTCCCGCTGGCCCTCGTTCCAAACACCCAGGGTGCACCCGCCTCTCCCCTCTTCACCACCATTGTCACCCCGTCCCCTGTTGTCACTTCCCAGCCCATCTTCCTGCTCCCCAGTGCCCCCACGCGGCAGCTAGAGACAGGGGGGCGCTTTTAAACCCTAAGTCAGGCCATGGCCCTGCTCTGCTTGGGGCCGCAGGGCTCCCACCTCACCCGTAATCACCACCGACATCCTCAGAGGACAGCGGTGTCCCGGGGTCTGCTCACTCCCCTCCGCCCCCGCCCCGCGGGGCTGGGCTCCCGGCCCACGCCGCCCTTGGGCCTTCCACCGGCCGCTCCTGCTTCCTGCTGCCTGGGCCCTTCCTCCCCAGAAGTGGCACAGCGCAGTCCTCAGCCGCCAAGCCTGCGCTCCCGCGCCACCTCCTCCCCAGCCCGCCCAGACAGCCTGCGCCCTGGCCCGCGGCTCCGCCTCCTCGCCTGGCAGGGCGCCCTGCCCTCGCTCTTGCTACCCCCACCCACAGCGTTTATCTAGCACCTGCTCTAATTCCCTTAATTCTCCCCTTCCACGTTTGCTGTCTGCTCCGGCTAGAACGCCCGCTCTGACAGAGCAGGGCTCCTGGGTGGCTCGCTGACAGAGCCCACGTGCCCAGCACCGTGCCTGGCACAGAGTCGGTGCTCAGCAAATCCCAGCGGGACCCCGCTCACCTGTATCGCTCCGATGTTCTCCAGGAGCTGGTCAGCGCTGGAAGCGCCCAGGAGCACGGAGCTGACCCCCTCGTTCCTCAGGCACCAGGCTGGGGGCGGCAAGGCCAGCGGTCAGGGAGGTGCACTCACGGCAGGCACCCTTGCTGGTCTGTCCTGCCCTGCCCACCTCGCACCAGAGGCACCCAGCATCCGGGTCTGGGGGCTGAGGGTGCCTGGGAGGGGCCTGACGAGCCCATCCTCAGCAGCGCTGGGTGCGGGGTGCTGAGGGGACCTGGCACAGGCTGACCCCCGGAGGTGAGGTGGCCCCAGTGCTCAGGGACCCCCATCCTCTCCCCATGAATGTGGGACCCCCTCACCCATGGCGGGCTGATAAAGGCGGTGGCCCAGGCACGAAAGGCTCCTGACCCTGCCCCCATCCCCCAGTGCTCTTACCTGAGGCCAGCTCCCGCCACCCAATGCCCTCACTCCCCGCCCGGGCCTGTCATCTCTGGCCAGCGCCCCCCCCACTCACTGCCCCCTCCCCTGCCCCGTCACCTATGGCCAGCTGCGGGAGGGTGCAGCCCAGACGCTCCGCGATGGCCTGCAGCTCCTTCAGCTTGGCCTGCTGGCGCCGGCCCTCCTCACTCAGGATCTTGTCCTTTAGCCACTGGTAGCCCTGGTTGAGGGAGGGGAGAGCACAGCCCACGGGTGAGGGCGGGTCATCTGGACCTCCGTGTGCAGACGGCTGATGGCTGGAAACCAGGGCAGCCCTCTACGCCCCGCCCCGCCCAGCCATGGCCCGCTGTGGGCACAGCCGGTGGAGCAGGGCGCCCTGCACTCAGGCCTGTTGTCTGTGGGTGGCCCCCAGGAGACCGGCCCCCGAGCCGGTGGTCCTGCTGACCTTCCCTGCTCCCAGGAGGCCTTTGTGCCAGCACTGGGCAGGGGGGGGGCCAGCCTGCTCCCACTCTGGGCGCTGCCGTGCTTCCCAGGGGCTCGCTGACCTTGCAGTGGGGGGAGGAGGGTGGGGGGCAGGCCGTCTGCCCTTGGACCTGGACCTGGGGCCGGGGCCTCCGGTGCTGGATCTGCTCGGCCTGGCCGGCCTTTCTCTGCCTGCTCTTTGTCCCCCCGACCCTGCACTCCGGAGACTCTCTGCGAGTCCCCTCTCTAGAGGTATGTGTGTGTGGGGGCGCCTTGTCCTGGGGAGTCACCTCTGAGTGACAGCTGAAGCGGCTCTGTAGCCCCGGGCCCTGGGCGCAGCCTGGAGCCGCGGGGCGTGTGCGTGCTCACGTGTGCACGTGCGTGGGGCGGGGGGAGGAGCATCCCAAAGGCAGCTGCGCATCGGCCCAGGTTGTGAATGTGGAGCCGGGGAGGACAGTGAGGGGGCGAAGGGACCTCGTCACTGGGGCCTGCCCCATGGGCGGGCGGCCCTCCGAGCCGGGGGCTCAGGCCGGCTGGGGCTCCGAGTTCCCGCAGCCCGCGCCACCCTGCGGGCAGGGGCCCAGGGGAGGGCGCCCCGCACGGCGGCCTCACCTCTACAAAGCGCCTGTCCCCTCCTTTACCTTCAAGGACGCTCTCGAGTAGGGCGGGATGCCGCTGTCATACTTTCCGGAGACGATGCCGCAGGCCAGAGGGGACCACGTCATGGCACCCACTCCTGGGAGAGGAAAGCCAGGTGAGGTCACGCCCTGGGTCCCTGGGGGGGGGGTGCGGGTGGAGGTGCGGGGTGGGGGGGAAGGGGACAGAAAGGGGCGGGGGGGCGCCCACCGATCTTGTGGAAGAGCTCGGGCAGCTGCACCTCCACCTTCTCGCGCTGGAACATGTGGTACTCGGCCTGCTCGCAGATGGGTGGGATCAGGTTGAACTGCCGGGCCACCGAGTAGGCCTCCTGCGGATGCAGAGAGAGCACAGTGGTCCCTGCCCAGCAGCCGGTGTGGGGGCCGCCCGCGCAGCAGGGACGGGCACAGAGGCACCCTGGGGGCGCTGCCCAGGGGCCCGCCTGTCCCCCTACCTCCGAGCTTTCTGGGGAGCTTGTTAGGTCCCCGCCATGAGGTGGGAAAGGGGACGGGTCCTCGGACCCCAAGGCTCAAGGGGTGGAGGGGGCAGTACAACCTAGTAGAGACTTGGGTTCTGGCATCACTGGCAGGTGGCCTTGGGCAAGGGGCTCACCCCTCTGGGCCTCAGTTTCCCTCCCTGTCACGAGGTTCACACGAGCCAGCGGTGTCTGCAGCCCTCACCACAGTGCCCGGCGCGGGCGGGCGCATGCCGGCCGTGGGGCTGCTGCTTTTGTCATGGGTGTCCCGCAGGACCCCGGGCCCGGGATGACGGCACTGGCAGAGACCGCGAGGCTGGGGGCAGGGCAGCTGCCTCGGCCCATTTCTGGAACTTGGGGCTTCAGGCCTCAACTCCGCAGATCGCGCCGCCACCAGCCAGGGCTGGTGTCTGCTGACGGGCCCTGGGGAGGCCCGTCTGCCAGCCTGGCGGGCCTCCTCCCCTCCAGCCGGGGACGCAGCCCCGCCTCGTGAGACGGGATCGCGGCGCTGCCAGCCGCGGGCGGCTTCCGGGGGAGGCGGTGCCCGCTGGTGCCGCGGCCGGAGCGGACGAGGCCGGGTGGGGCTGCCGGGGCTGTGCTTAACCAGCAGTGACAATCCCGCTGAATCTCTTTGAAGGGGTGGAAATCTGGGACATCAGGATGCGGGGCTTCTGGGACGGGGGTGGGAGGGACTGAGACTGTGGGCAACCTGGGGACACGGGTGGTAGGTCCGTCTGAGAGGCCAGCCCCTACTCCCACCCACGGGCCTGCTTCTGAGGAGCACAAGACCACCCGCTGACCCTTCTGGGGTACCCCAGACATGGGAAGACGCACCTGCCGTCCTCGGCCGCGGAAGCGCCCGTGGAGGGAAAGGACAATAAAGGGGACGCTGTCCTGAAGGGCCGGTGGAGGGGGACGTGATGGATTAAGAGATGGGTGCCCAGGGTCCCAACAGCCACCCACATGCTGAACGGCGTGGCCTGGGCATTCATCTCGGCACAGGCTGAGCCGTGTGACCGTGGGCAAGGGACCCAACCTCTCTGTGCCTCGTGGGCACCCGGAAGGGCAGGACAGCAGCGCCGACCTCCCAGGTACGGCGGGGAGCACATGGGAGTTCGTCCCCACGACGCCCCCCGATCGAACGGCGCCTGCGGCAGCTTGGTGGCAGTGCCTGAGACCGCTGTCACTCGAGCTCCGGGACCTCCCGCTAAGAGCTTCATGCCTGCTCTCCCCGCGAACCCTCAGGACGGCCTCGGGAGGGGCGGTCACCCCAGCAGTCCTGTCCTGCAGGTGGGGCACGTGGGACTCAGAGAAGCTAAGCCCCCCGTGTCAACACAGATAAACGCCGCCCAGTGCGGAAGCCATGGCCGCCACACGTCAGTCCTCGTCAGGGCCCGCGATCTCCACCCCCGGCGCGGGGACACAGTGGGGGTCGCCTTACCATGATCTCCATGGAGCTCCAGCGTGACGTGCCCCAGTACATGGCCATCCCCTGGTTGATGACGTGGGTCATGGCACGCACGGTCTCTGTCACGAGAGAAGGAGACACCGCAGGTTGGAGGGCGGCTGGGGGGCCAGGGGCCCGGTCTGGGGACATTCTGCAAATACAGGCGAGGCGCCGGGAGCAGGGACAGGGGCTGCGAAGACGTCTTGCAAGCAGTGTACTTCCGGGCTCCGACCTTGGGGGTGGCAGGGGATCTCTGGGGCGACAGGGAAAAGTGACCCTCGATCTAAGATGCTGGCCTCGAAAACGACTTCCCCTCATAGTTACAGGTCTTATGGGACCTTGGGAAACGGGGTGCTGTATGGACTGGGATGTTTCTGTGGCAGAATGGGGAGGTGAGACCAAAGAATGTGATTCCAGAGTCTAGGAGGGGGAGTTCTCTAGTCTGGGAAAGAATCAGGGACCCCGATTCTCAGGCAGAACCAGGGAACGGATTCAGGTGACGTCGGAGTGGCGGAAGGCAGCAGGAAGTAAACACGACGTTTGCCCTTTCTGGTCTGCTCCTTTGGGCTAATCCTGATTCTCAGTGCGACTTGGGGAGCCTCAACAGAGGTGATGATGGCGTCTGTGGGGACACAGGACACGGCATGGGGCCGGGCCTGGGTGGTCCCAGAGCGGGGGCTGCAGGCTGGAGCGCCCCCCGTGTCCAGAGGAGCCAGAGGCGGCGTGGACAGCTGCTCTGGGCCAGGCCCTGGCCTCTTAAGGCAGCCCAGGCCCAGGCTGGACTGTGACCCCCAGCACAGGACAGGGGTGGCCTCTGCTCTTAGGACCGTGGGGCCCTCCTGTGAGGGCCCAGGGCCGGCCGCAAAACCGCCACAGTCTGCACGTTCTCTGGAAGCAAACTGGACACTGGGCAGCTGAGAGTCGCTGAAACCCCAGGCCTTCCTTTCAAACTAGAGAGAAGGGACCTGCCCCCATCTGCTTGGCAGATTCTCCCTAAGGCTGAAGAGAGGTTCTGAGAAATCAAAGTCTGCCAGGTTACGTTCCGTCCTAGGCCACCTCAGCTCACGGGGCAGCATCGTTTTAAAAGTAGAGCCTGGCCTTGAGCGCTTCAGCTCCCAGTGCCTCAGCGCTGTGGGGTGAGGGTTGCTCCCTCGGGTTTCCCCGAGCCGCATACAGTGCTTGCAAGTCCGACCGCCCGTGGCAGTGTGGGAGGTAGAGTCGACCAGCAAGTGTTTCTAAAATAAGCAGGACACCAACCCGCGGCCAAGGCCCCCTTTCTGTAGAAGGCTAGGGTGGCTGGGGCTCCCGGAGCGGTGGTCTCAGTGGGCTGCCCAGGACCCCTCCAAAACCACAGCCGCGCTTCCATGCCCGCAGGCTTCCAAGGCCAGGGCCTGGGCTCCTCTTTGCGCCCCCCCACCCGCCCCAGGGAGGAGGGCTGGCTGGCAGGGGAGCGCTGACGCCTCGGGCCCCCGCTTTAACCGCCGACACCGGTCAGTGTGAAGGACAGTAGTGTCCGGCTGGAGAGGCTTGCGGGTCCCAGGGAGAGGCCTGCCCGCATCCGTGCCCGAGCCCAGCGCCCGGCCTGGCTCCCCGCCAGGCCCTCAGAAACACCCCAGGGCGCCTGCGACCATGCAGCTGGTCCCTTTCAGCCAAGGCCAGGCCCACATGCTGGAGGGGGAAGCCAAGGACGCCCTGTTCCCAGCCTGTCCCCGGCACAGCTCCCTCCTCACCAGGGGCCGCCGTGCAGCGCCCTCCCATGCAGGGGGAGCCCCACGGCGCCTGGGGGTCACGGCCACGCGGCCGCCTGCAAGAGCCTGCGGCCGGCCCCGCAGGGCAGGGGTCCTGGGTTCCCCGGGGTCCCAGGCTGTGGCAGCCTGTGCGCGGAGCCCACCCACAGGAGCACGGCACTCTGCCCTTCTGCCCACGTGTGAGGCCACGGGCCCCAGAAACAGGGACGGTGGGGGACGACTCATTCGCCTCAATATTTAATGCCGTTGAACAGAAGCGAGAGGACCGAATCCTTGCGGCTGCTGCCCAAACCCCTGGCACCTCCTGCCGTGCCACAAATAATACATGGGCAGGGTCAGGTGGCAGTGCCAGGTGGCAGGCAGGAGCCCTGCCACCGTGGCACACGGCCTAGTCCCCGGGGAGGCCGAGGCCTGCCCGTGGCCTGGGGTCCTGGGGGATCGCGGCTTGGGGTGGGCAGAGGCTGGACCCGGTCTCGAGTTTCCTGGCTCGGGTAGGTATTCTTCCCGGGGGACCATGTCCCATTTCAGTGGGGAGGCCAGGCCACGCAGCAGGGGCTGAGGGTGGCGGGCGGCCCAGGCCTCCCAGGGACAGCGGCGCCCCACCAGCCGGGGCGCTCCGGACGCGCCTGCGGGCTGTGCACAGGGCGCCTCATGCTGGGGCGCCCTGCTGCTTCTGGCTGGGGCCAGAGCTTCGCAAACGCGAGCCACGGGGAGGGCAAGGCTTGTGGGGGGCGCACGTTCTGGGGTCCCCGATGCGTTTGCCCCGGCGGGAACCCGGCCTGCCCCAGCCCATCCGGGTTTCAGGCACTGACCGCAGCATCCCCAAGTCATGAGGAGGCCCCGGCAGGCAGACGGCCGGCTGCCCTGAGGGTCACAGCAAGGCCAGGCGGGGGTGGGGCACGGCGGAGGGACATGCACAGATGCACAGAAGGAGGGGGAATGAAATGACAGCGTGGCCTGGGCGGGCCTTTTCCTGCACTTGCGAGATGTTCTCAGAGGGTACTTATGGGTCCCTTATGCATTTTATGGAGAAGTTTGTCATCGGGGGGGGGAGAGAGTCGTGTAAATAAAATCGCTGTCTCATAAAATGCAGCTTGGTCACAGGAGTCAATAGTCGGGCCCAGGGCACTGTGTACCTTCTATGATGAATGTCCTGGACTTGGAGGAACTAAATGGGTCCCCTGGTGATAAAAGAAAGATTTAAAGAGACCAGAGTTTATAGCTGTGGGGACACGGGGAGGCGTGCTGTGACAAAAGGCATGGGAGGGGGGCACAAATCACTCGCCAAGCGCCCGTCTTGTTAAAAAAAAAAAACATGCACTTATATACACACGCGCGTGCGCACGGGGGTGTGTGTATATCTCAACAAATGAAGGAAAACCAACACAACTGAATTCCCCACGTCCCTGAAGCAGGAAGGCACAGTGAGAAGACGCCGGAAGCGGGAGGTTAGGGGGACAGGAGGGGCGGAGAGCGCGGGAGCGGAAAGAATGAAGAAGCGCCTAAGAAACCCAAACCGCTTTCAAAGCCCTGTGCGATTTTCCTCCTCCAAGTGAACGGACCAAAGACCCCGGAGCCGCCCAGGAGAAGGAAAGAGAAGAAGGAAGCATGTGCAACGAGTCATCATATCGTGACTCCATTTAGCTACAAAATATTAACAGCTGAGAGGAGAACATTCCACACCGTTCTAAACCCAGGAGGGGCGGGGAACCGGGCGTGCGGCCGCTGTGGGCCCAGACGTGCCGGGGCGTGCCTGGGGAGGGCAGGGCGTCAGAGGCCGAGCTCAGGTCCCCTCCCCGCCCCTGGTTCCCCCACCCCGAAGGCCCGGCCCTCGCCTCCCACCTGGCCCGGCCCCCCGACCGTGGGCCTGGGTGCCCAGCGGCCCTCAGGGCCTCCGGCTCCGTGCCCCCCAGCAGCCGACGGAGAACGCACCTTCCATGGGCGTGTTGGGGTCCGGGCGGTTGGCAAACACCACGTCCACATACTCGAGCTGCAGCCGCTCCAGGGAGGCCTTCAGACCTGCGCGGGGAGTCAGGAGGGATGGTCACCATCTTCCCAGGCTTCTGGGCCCTCCCCCGAGCCAGAGGGAGATGAAAGAGACAAAGAGGAAGGTTCAGGGACAGGCGCGGCCATTGCCACCTGGGGCCGTGGAAAGCCGGGGTAGAACGGGGACACCCCACCAAAGGGGTTCCGCCGAGTCCGGATGACGTGGGAGGTCTGCAGGCCAAATGTCCTGTGGCTGCGTGAAGGGGACCCTCCTTAGCTTCCTGGTGGCCCCACAGGGAAACTGGGAGAGCTAGGCCCTCCAGCAGGGAGGGGAGGGACCTGGGGCATCTATCGCACCCGAGGCCAGTGATGTCTGCAATGCACCCGTAGTGAACCAGCACCTGGGGATGGCTCGGAACAGAGCTGCAGAGTGGAGGGCTGGGCTGGGGGCCGGGGCCGGGGGGCGGCAAGGCCGTCGCATCGTCTCATTGTTAGAGGACGGAAATGAACGTGGGCAGGAGAGGCAGGAAGACAGTGCAGGAGGAACATAGCGCACGGGAGACGTGCTAGCCAGCCCGCTCCCTCCGCTCCCTGTGCTGAGCCCCTTGGCGCAGTGTGTCTGATACCTACCCTCACCGGGGGGCCCTGTCCCCCGTGACCCCGCAAGGGAGTGGCCACTCTCCCGGAAGCTGCATCAGAGGCCTGGGGAGGTGACAGCCTTCGCTCACGGGCAGTGCAGGACGGAGACCCAGGCCTGTCCGCATCCCCCCCAGAGATAGCACTGGCCATCGGAGGCGATATCGGCCCCACCCTGCCCCCTCTTTCTGGCAGACCCCGTGGGTTTCGGGCCCCTGTGCAGCCAGAGCCCCTCACCTTCTATTATGTGCTTCCGGGAAAGGCCCCTTTCGGTCTCCGCTCTGAAAAACAGGCAACACTGTGCGTGATGTTGCAAGCGGTCTTGGGGGAAATGTTTATGATGCACGCACTAGGCAAAGAAAGTAGGTCAGCGCACGCCACATGCGCTCCAATCCCGTGAGGCGGCGGGGGTGCGCTCGCGTGGCCGGGGAGGCCCGGGCTGCCCCGCCGGCCTGGGGCGGGGGGGGCGTCTGCCTTCAACCTGCTCATCTGCTAGGCTTGGGTTTTTTTGAAGATTAAGAATGAACCACATGTATAATTCCCAGGATGCCGATTTTGTCCAGCCCCAGAGAGAAAATTGGATTAGACTCCTGGGGGCTGGAGGCGGGGGGTGTTCTGGGGCCCAGGGGAGCGGAGTGGTACGGACAGGTCATGAATTTTCTGCATTTTCCAGAATTTTTAGAATGTTGCCTTTGTAGTTAAAAAAAAAAATCCATAAAAATGAGAAAAAATTAAACAAGGGTTGAATAAAAGACAAACTCTGCTGAAGCCACTTCTATGGAATTTGACATCTGTTCCCAGGGGCGGGCCCAGCCGGGGCAGACGCCTCAGGCACTGGGGACAGGAGACCGCGCGGCGGGGGGTGGGGGGTGCCTGGCTGTCCTCCCGGGGTTCCTGGCCGAGGAGGGAGACGGGTCCCCCCACCCGGCAGCCTCCTCAGTCAGGGGCGTGGGAGGGCTCCGGGCTGCACCTACTTTCCTCCCCAGAAGATCTTGGTGGTGATGACGAGGCTGGAGCGCCTGCAAACACAGGGGAAGGAGCGGTGTGACTGGGCCTGGCCGCTTGCAGGGCCCCTCCCGCCCCGCCCGTCTTCAGCTCCCACGTCGGAGTCCTGACACCCTTTTCCTCCGGGAGCACTGGTGTGAAACGGGGCACCGCTCTGTCACTCAATGTTCTCGTGTGTGTCGAGCCTGGACCCTGGGGCTCCCCGTGGCATCAGGAGACAGTCCACAAATGCCACTCACTGACCAAGCGACCGTAAGTCGGCGATGGGGTCCTAGGGAGAGGCGCCTGCCCCGCGCGGAGCCCTTTCCCTCCCGCCAGCTCCTCCAGGCCCTTCCCTGGGCGTGTGTCCTGGACACCGGCCGCAGGGACGGCAGACATTACCTCCATCCCTTCTTCTTAATGATGTTCCCTAAAACCACTTCTGCCCTGCGGGAGAGACGAGACACGGAGGTTTCATTACAGCACAGTGCGCACATGCAGCCCCGCCCCACAGTGACAGTCGGCCCCTTGGTCCCCTCTGGGACCAGAGACCCGGGCGGCTGGTGCCCGCGTTCGCTTGGGCAGCTCATCCAGAGAAGAGTCGCGCGCTGGGCGTGGCTGGCACCCCCCAACGGAGGGGGCCACGGCGCGTGTCCCTGCGTGCCCTGTCTGAGCCGTACCCTGTTCCTGGCCCCCTGGAAATTCCCCCGGAAAATGCCTGGCAGCGCTACATGGGTGGTCTCTGGATAAGTATGTTTTTTAAAAGGTCAATTATTCATCTGTTTTCAGAGACAACCAACATGCACTCAGGGCCAGGGGCTGGGCCTCCAGCAGAGTGCTTGCGGGTGTGCATGTGTGCGCGTGTGGGTGTGTGGTCTGCTCCTTCCTTGCTTTTGAATGGGGTGGGGGTGGGGGGAGACAGATGCCCTGCTGACCGCTGTCTGCTCCGTTTGGCATTGCTCGGGGCCCAGCACTGACCTCGGGCCAGCCGGCGCCCCGGGCGCTGTTCCAGCCCTGTGTGGCATGGCCATGATGGATTTGTGACTTCTAAATTTTTAACTTTTAATAACTTTTAGCTCGTAGCAAAATGTTTCTGAGCAAAAACAATCGAGGGAGACTGCTACCTTTCAGCTATAAAAGCACCTGCGTCATCCACTCAGAAATAATGGGCTCTCATTTGCAAGCTGTTTGGCACACGCTAGGGAGGCTCTTTGTTTACGGCCCACAGGCACAGAAACGCACTCGCACTGGGCCCGGGCCTCTTCCTTTAGTCCTCGGTCCCTCCTCTGTGGGACAAAGGATCGGGAGGGGGGGAGAAGGAAAAGCAAGCCCTGGTTCTGGGTCCCAGGAGAGTAGATGGAGTCCACCAACGCCTGTTGCTGGTGGCCGTGGCTGTGGTATGGCTGGCACCGTCCAGAAGGGCACAGAAACCTTGCAGCCCTCTGGGAAGCACCCAAATTAATGTCAGCATGACAAGGGGGGGGACTCAGCAAGCTACGCAAGTGGCACTGTGGTTAGCGAGAGGGACGGTGCCTGGCAGCCCCTTGCCCCACGCAGCTTCCCTCTGCCTGTCCCTTGGCACAGTGCCCGGCTTCCCCATGCGGTGGCTGACGGCAGGGGGCGTTGATGGGGGTGAGCAGGCAGCTTCGGAGGCCAGCGGAGCGGAGGGCGGGACCAGGGCTCCGGGCTCCCGGGGCACCAACAGCCCAGGGGAAGCTGCCCCCCGAGTCCTCGGCTTCTGCAGAGGGTTCCGAGAGGCAGGACCCAGTGTGCTTGTTCCCAGCACGCCCACCCTGGTGGCCCTTGACCGGGGGACGTGAAGATGGTGGCACAGAGCGCAGCTGCCGTGATGTCGTGTGGCCGCCGGAGCACAGGGGCTGGGCCGTCCGCAGCTGCAGGAGGCGGCACGGAACCGCCCCCCCGTGCGCCCTCGTGGACCCCAGAACCGGAGGTGCAGGCCAGGGAGAAGGCCGGGGTGCTCAGGATGGGGCCAGGGCTGTGGGCATGGCTTCCGCGTTGGGCTTCACCTCTGACCCTCCGGTGCAGCTCATTTGCCTGGAAAGCATTTCACTTTGATGGGAAGTGGCGGCCAGTTTGGTAGGGCTGGGAGGGGCGGTGCTGCCGGAGGGGCAGTGAGCTGCGGGGATGGGGCTTGGGGGGCTTGGGGGTCCCAGTGGAGGCTCCCAGGGCTGCCAGAGCCTCGGGCCCTGGGTCAACACTTCAGCAGGGGTGCGCTGCAGCTTGGGGCCCCGTTACAGGCTGCAGGCGGCAGCCCAGAGCGGAGGGAGGCAGGCGCTGGCCCCCGGGGTAGTGGTCTGGGCACAGCCAGCCAAGCGCACCAGGAACAGAACGTGGCCTGCCCCAGGCAAGAGGGGCCCGAGGGGGCGGGGAAGAGAGCCAGCAAATGACTTCACAAACAAAAGCTGGCTTTTGGAAACCCAACGCAGCAGGGTGGATGATTTGATTACAGCCAGGCTTTAAAACTGAAGCCAGCAGCCTTGGCTGAAGAGGGCTCCTACGTAATTGAGGAGGGAAGGTCATTGCCAAGACGGGAAGTGCTTCCTGCAGCGCTCCGCTCGCCTGAGCCTACTCTGCCCAGCTCCAGAGGCCCCGATTCCCTGCGGTCCTAATTGCACCATTAAGACGTGAGAACGTCAGGTGCGCGGGGCTGGCTGCAGGTCACGGCTCCGCAGGAGAGCCCGATGACAGCTTCATCTCGGCCCTCGCGCAGCACAGCATCTTTGGCACCTGAGGGACTGAGGTCATCTTGGTGTGGGGACACATGGGGAGTTTAGCAAGTGACCAGCATCCAAAGTTTCTGCGACTCAGGCCGCCTGAAAACAACGTGTCCTTGAGCCATTTGGAGTTTGGAAAAGCAGGCAGAGCGGGGGGCGCATGCGTGAACCCTCTCGGGCCGGAGCACTGGCTCTTCCCGGGGAGTGCTGTGGCGACGCCCCGTGTTCTCGCGAGAAAAGACACGTACTTGCCCGCTGCGTAGACTTCCGCAGTGTCGAAGAGGTTGATGCCGTTGTCGTAGGCCAAGGTCATTAGCTGCTCTGCCATCTGAAACGAGAAGCCGGGGCTCTGGCAGGCGGATGCCGGCCTCGTCACCTGTCCCTGGCTTGCCAGCCCGGGCAGCACCCAGAGGCCCAGGACCACCCCCGTCCCCACCCCGGACCCCGCCTTCTCCTGCCGCGGGCTGTGAGCCGAGGCAGGGCTCAGTAACCGACAGTAGAGGAGGAAGAGGACAAGATGAAAAGGCAGCTATGGACTGTGACTTTCTTTCGAGCAGGGACACCCTCTGTTGGGACATCACAGGCCTTTGCACCTGTCCTGGGATGAATAGTGTCCCTTCAAGTTCACGTCCACCCAGAACCGCAACATGTGACCTGAGGCGGACATGGCGTCTTTGCAGGCTCACTCAAATTAAGATGAAGTCTCAATGCATTAGGGTGGACCCTAAATTCAGCCTGAGGGTGTGCTTGTAAGAAGAGGCACATCTGCACGGGAAGAGGCCAGGTGGAGGCGGGGGAAGATACGGGGTGCTGTGTCCACCGAGGGACGCCCAGGGGGGCCAGCAGCCCCCAGAAGAGCCCTTTCAGAGCCTGGGCGGCAGCGCAGCCCTGCTGACATCTTGATCTCCAGGCCCCGAGAGGATGAATGTCTGTTGTTTGAAGCCACTCGGTTTGCGGGACTTCATTGGGCCAGACCCGGGACACTAACAGCCCACAGCGGGAGCCCCATAGATCCTGGCAGGACAATTATTTTAAAGCTTTGGTTAGGATAATGCGCCCTATAAAGGGTCCAGCCTGCAGGACCCTTCCCAGAGACTGTGTGAGGATGATGTCGTTACTGTTTGCAGGCAGAGGAACTCCGTCCTCAGGCAGCATGCTGCCCTGGCTGGTGCCTCTCTGGTCCTTGCGGGCAGGGCCTGATGAACAGCCAAGGGCCGGGGGAAGGATCAAGGAGCAGGGTGGAGGGGGAAGCCTGCTGGCAACTGGCAGCCCCCGCCCCAGATGCAGTAGAAGAAGGCACTTCCGGGCTCTGCTGTTGCTTTGGACAGGGCAGGTGTCCTGGGGGTCAAGGATGCAAACTCTGCCCACCTTCCTTCTCACAGCTCAGCTAAGAGCACCCAGGTGGCCTTGGGTGGGGTGAATAACACTAAAACCCTGAAAAACTGCAGGACAGGAAACTAGCCAGGTGAGGCTTGTGGGACTTCCCCCAATACCACACTCAGGGGCCCCACCGGCCAGGCAGGTGGCCGGTGGCCATCACTGAGACTGGGGGCTCAGTCACTGCCCTTGGGAGGTGGCCTGATACGACCAGATCCCTTGATTTTTCAAGAGAAGCCGGAAATCCACGATATTTTGGTGGCGGGGATCTGATTTTCAAATGTTGGCCATGAACCCTATAAAGATTTCCGATACTGAGCAGGCCAAAGCTAACCCCCAAGAGTTAGATGCTGGTGTCTACGCCGGAAAGCCCAGGGCATGGTCACGCCATTGGCAAGGGGTTTTCTGGACCCACGGGCCCCTCCACAGCAGAAGCCAGGCCTGGGCAGCCACCGGCCGACCACACGAGGCTCTGCGAGCAGGCGAGGTCAGCATGTTGTCATGAGGATGCCCGCCTCGTCACCTGCCCCTGCCCAGAAGGCTGTGAATGTGGCCCTTGCCTGATGACAGAGGAGGAACCTGGGACTTTTCAGGCCTGTGTCTTCCTTTCATTTTTCACCTGGATGGCTTGGGTGTATTGCCTCGCCCAGGGCTTGCTATGGGAACATATGCTTTTCCCCTACAAGACGTCAGCTCTCTCATGCAGACTCCACGTGCTCTCTTGTGGGCCTGCCCTGTGTTGTTCAAACACGACTTGTGCAGACGTCCGCTCTGTGGGTGCCACCTGTGTTACATTGTGGAGCCTCTGCTTTGTGACTGTTCCCTTACTTCTGATGACAGAGTCCCAGAAACTGGAGGCAGAGGGAGCCTCGGAGAGAGGTGGCCCCCACTCCCTGTCACCACCAGCTGGGGATCAGGGACTCTGTCCGGCCTCAGTGCGGCCACTCTAGAGCCGAGGCTGGGGCCAGAGTTCGGTCCCTGAGGCCCTGTGTTCCGGACAAGGGAATCAGGACGCCTGCCTCTCTGGGCCGGCGGAGGGCTGGGCGTGATAATTGGTGGACGCTCCTGAGCCCCGCGCTCCTTTAAACACACGCTCTGGGGGCGGAGGCGGGTGGTGGTCCCTCTGAGCAGCGTGTGAGGTCACAGCAGGGGCAGTGGATCTGAGGTTGGAAACCTGACTCCGACCAGGGCAGCTGGAGACTCGGCCACGTGATCGGAGCTTGGCTAACTGTCCGCTTCCTCTGCGGCGGGCTCCTCCCTGCCTGGCCCCTGGGAGCCTCCCTGCCTGGGACGACGGCCCTGCAGATGACGGATGCCGTGACCCCACAAGACAGGGGGAGGCATACCTTTTCCGTAAAGGGCCAGGGAGTAAATATTTTAAGCTTTGTGGGCCAGATGGTGTCCGTGGCAGGCACTCAACTTGGCTTCGTAGCGTGAAAGGGCCACAGACAATGTGCAGGTGAATGGGCCTGGCCGCCTGCCGCTGAGGCTTTATTTACAAAAATGGGCTGTGGCGTTCGTAGTGACAGAGTATGTTAGAAGTTACGGGGAGCGGGCCGGGGAGTTATTGCTCCCTGGGTACAGTTTCTCTTTGGGGTGATGGAAAATTCTGGAAATGGCCAACAGTGATGGTTGCCTAACAAAGAGAATGTACTTAATGCCATTGAACTACATATATACTTAAAAACGATTAACATACTAGATTTTATATGTATTTTAACCACCATAAAAACAGTTAAAATGGCAAATTTTATGTTTCGTATATTTAATGAAAAAAGAAGAGGCTAAAAAGAAAAAAAATAGGTGGGGGCTGGATGTGGCCCGGAGGCATCGCTCAGTGTAATAGGTGGAGCCCAGCCACGGAACTCGTTTGCCACGGGCAACCCACTGGTTTCTCGTTTCTGTGCCCGTCTGGCACACTGCAGGGAACCCTGCCAACTGGATCCGGGGCCTGCCTTCGACGGGGCCGCCCATCGGGGCCACCGTGGCCTCCGGGGTTTGGGCAGCACGCGTGTCCCTCCGCAGCCCGGGGGTGGGGTCCCTGCTTCCTCCTGGTACCAGCCCCGCTGGCTCAGGCCCGGTAGGCAGCCAGCAGAGGACCGAAACGGAGCTGCTTCGCCTGACCGCGGCAGGCGCACCCCTCACCCTTGACGTATTGATTTTTTTGGACACTAAGATTTAACACGGAATTGCTGCTTGCTTCTTGCTCAGTCATTTTCGCCTGCCAGGACCTTCGGGGATCCTGAATCTGCCATCTATTGTATCCGCTGTCCTCCCGGCTTTTCGTCATCTGGACACGACTTCCAGTATCTTCGCACATGTCACTGTGTCCCTGATAGAGACGCGGCAGCGGCAGCTGGGCTGCCACCGGGTCGTTAGTCAGTCCCCTCTGGGTGTGATGATTTGTTGGCGTAAAGTCACTTAGGTGGGCGGCCACCATCCGCTGCTGCCCTCTAGCTGTCCCACAGGGACAGCCTGGGCCGGCAGCCCACGTGCATGGAGATGAAGTCACCCCTTCCCGGGGCTCTTCCACCTATGACTTGAGCAACCCCATCCAAAGGGACGTGGGCGAGGCAGACACGGCTTGTCCCCGGGACCCAGGTGGGCTCTGGGGCCGCAGCTTCTAGTCTAAGCTCAGAGCCGATTTTGGTGGCTGGAGAAAACAGCTCCCCGGCCACAGCACCTCCCGCTGTCACCCGAGACCGCCCAGGCCCAGGCCCCGAAAGCAAAGCAGAGAGCTCTCGAACTCGCTGCTGTCCCAACAAGAAAAGGGAACAAAACCACAAGTGAAATGCAACTGGATTTTGACAGAAGCACAGCTTCTCCTGTGAAAACTGACCTGGCTGTCACAGCTAACACAGGTCTCGCGCGAAGTCACATGTTAATTTTTAAACGTGACCTTCTGGACAGTAAGGAGGACACACGGGAGGGTGGCTTCTTGGGCAGCTGGCCAGAGCTCTCCGAGCAAAAGCCGCTGTTCTCACTTCCCAGACATCCACTCACTGTCCCCACATGCACAGTGGCCTGGGAGCACAGAGTCCCCTCCAGGGGTGGGCAGTACGGTGTCCCAGCAAGCATGTGTGCGAGCCGGGCGCACGGCTGGTGGCGGCCGGGGGAAGCTGTGGATCGGGAGCCGGGCGGAGCGGAACTCCGTTCAGGGCTCAGCTTGCGGTAGAACCAGCAGAAGCTGCGTTCTGACACCTCGGCAGACACGTGCGGAGGTTCCCAGTTCGCTCGGTAGGAACAGCTTAGAACGGCATTGGGCTTTCGTAATTTGGAGAGCCTGTGCTGCCTGGGTGTCCCTGACCTGCTGCAGGTGAGGGGCCCGAGTTGCTGGGACTTCGAGGGACTTGCCGAAGCCCCGAGGCACCCGGCTGCCAAGGGTGGCGCCGCCACGGCGGCTCACTCTTCCCGCCTGCCCGGGCTGGCACAGGCCAGGGCCCCCTGGGGAAACAGCGGGAAGCCGTGTGGCTGCTGGGAGCACCATGTTGCTGGTGCATTTAACGAACTTCACCGCCCTCCTGGAGGGGCCACCCTCGCTCGGGCCTGGGGGAAAAGGGAGCCCATCTTACCTCGTCGGTGATCTGGCCTCCAAAGGTCACCCATGTTCCTGGAAGGAGACACACAGGCTCAGGTAAGAGAACCTCCCCAATCCCCCCTCCCTGTGTGCTGGGACCTCATCTGCAGGGAGTGGATGAGGAACGTCTCCTTGAAAAAACAGGCAGGTCCTCGCTCTGCTGGATGGGGGAGTGTGTGTGTTGGGGGCACAGTGTGCGCCATGGACCTGTAGGGTCGTTGTGACCCAGGAACAGGGCTCGCATCTTGAGAAAGAGGGAAAAGGCTGTATCTCCACCCACCTCCCTCTCCTAGGCACCCCTCCTTGTTACCATGGTAACAGACCCCAGGCATCCTGGCTCTGGGTGCAGCTCCCTCCCCCCACTCCAGGCCTCCCACAGCCCCCGCTTCCCCGGGGGGCTCTGGACCAAGGGGCCCCCACACTCACCGAGCCCCAGGCAGGAGACCCGCAGGCCCGACTTCCCCAGGTTCCTGAAAAACAAGCGCCACGTGAGTTCTCGGTGGTCAGGGCAGGACCCACTGGCCGGGCTCGGCCCCCATGGTTCCCAGCACCAGCTCCGTGAGCCCCCACCCCAGCCTATGCTGTTCTGAGGCTCTGAAGGCGAGGGGACCTTCGGAGGGGCCTGCAGCTCGCCTGCCCGGGGACGGAAGGGCCAGCTGTCCCCCAACCCTCCCCGTGCGCACCCCCGGGCTCGGCCATGGTGCTGGGACGGCCACGCTGGTGCCCAGGCCGAGCTGCCTCGGAGACAGCGATGGAAGCAGCGCCTCTTGTTTCCCGGCTGAACCGAGACGGATTCAACCCGTGGCACCAGCGGGGGCGTTCGTCAGACTTGCCTCGTTCAGTTGCTTCTCGCGTTTGTCATTTTGTGCCCCTTCGCTCTGCGCTCCGGGTGGCGGAGCAGAGTCGGCCCCGGGTCATGGGCCACGTGACTGGGGGCCTGTCCCTCCGCGGTGGGAGTTGGGGTGCGGGGCTCCATTGCGGGTGTCGGTTCCCGTGCTTGGCTGAGCCCCAGCCTCTGTGTGAGCCCCCGGCCGGGGCCGCTGAGGGGAACAAGGTCCAGACGCTCCAGCGGCCACAGCTGCACGGGCTGCCCGGCCCCAGCCGAGGCCACCAAGGGGCCCGCTGGATGGCACGCTCCCCAGGGCTCCCGTGAGTGGGTTCAGTGCTGTCACTTAGGGGGTCACAGAGTGTGGCGACGCCCTGCTGAGGGCCAGGACGCCCGTCTGCCCTGACGCAGGCTGGCGGGAGCCCCGGGCGGCCGCAGGCAGGGGGTGCGCAGGCGTCCCGTCCCTGACCCCTGGGCAGCTCCGGGGGCAGGTGCCTCCCTTTTCCCGCGGTCGCAGTTTTACGGAAGAGCATGCGGCGCCTGCCCAGCAGCGGGAGCTGCACACCGCCCAGCAGTCGGCTCCAGCACACGCGCCTGTCCCGGAGGCGCCCCCACGCCCGCCGCCGGGGCACACAGGATGTCAGCTGCCCCGGCAGTGACACAGGGGGGCAGCAGGGCAGTGTCCCAGCCACAGCTGGGCCCTGTCCCTTCCGCTGTTGAACTCCACGTCTGTGGGGGGACCTGCTGCCGGCCCCCTGGTCCTGGGCTCATCCTGGGGTGCGACACCCTCCCAGGCGGCGGGGGATCAGAGAAATGCAAGGGACGCGGATGGTGAACCCCAGCGTCCTTCCCCAAGGGCTCCCCGCCGCTTCCCGGGGCTACCCCACTTCCGGCTTCAGTGGACGCTGTGTCCTCAGTTTCTCCATCCAGGCCCGAGCCCGCCCTGGCCCCCGCCCCCACAGGCTGGCTCTGACCCTCTGCAGCCTCGTTTTCCCTGGTTACAAGACCTGGTCCCCCATGAGCTATAATGCAGGTGGTGGTTGGTGCAGAGTGGGGGTGGGAGCAGGGGGGGGATTTCACGAACTTGTCAGCAGTTTGAAAACAGTTTAACATGTCACCAAATGGAAGGTAGTTCGAAACTGCCCAGCTTTCCTGCTGAATTTCCCAGGGAACCGTGCCCAGCTGCCGGCCTGCAGTTCCTACCGGAGCGCGGAGTGAGGACCCATCGGCCAGTTTCTTCTCTTGGGAGGCGAGCGGACCGGCAGAGGCCCTGGCGCCAGAGCTGCTTTCAGACCCTGGTCTGACCTTGCCGGCTGAGGGCTCCGGCCCTGCCCCTCCGTGTGCTTGTCGCAGGGTGGGCTCCGAGCACCGCCCTCCCGCGGGCTTGCTGAGAGGGAGCACACGGGCCTGCGACAGGCGCTGACTCTGCACGAGCCGCGTCCAAGACAGACGGCACAGAACGAGGGACGGCGGCCCTTTTCCTCACATGGAAAACAGCGGACAAATCAAACAGGCTTCAGATATGAGGTGTTCAAATGGGATCAGAGGTTTCCCCTGTAACTCAGTGAAACAACCTAATGGAGCCTCAGCACGGCCCCACCTGGAAGAGCCTGCGTCTGTGACTGCTGGTCGGAGGGGCTTGGCCGCGTCACCCGCACACTCGCGTCATGCCAGGGATACTCGCAGCCGGCGTGTCTTTTCCCACAGCGGCTACAAAGCACCTGCACCGAGGGATCAGAGCCTCGCTCACGAGCGGTCCGATAACAGAGCAGAAAGAACTGAAGGCTCTTATCAGCTTGGGGGTCACAGACCCCTCTGAGAGAGCCCTTCCTTGGACGCGTGCACGAACACAAAAGCCGCCAGAGCCTTGTTTGCGATGCCTGGGCATTCACAGAGCCTGGTGCACCTGGTTTAGGTAAGTCCAGGTGCTGGACAGGGACCAAGTACCAGAATGCGCTATTCAAGGGATGAGGGGCTTCAGCAACAGACAGGTAAGGACACAGAACACGGGCTGAGCCCACCTGGCCTCTCGCCCACCAGGTGGGCCGAGTCCTCCCCACCCCCGCGCCAGGCGCGTGGCTCTCCAGCTGCTCCTCCACCCACAGCCCGCAGGAACGACGCAGAGAAACTAGGACACCGCGCGACGCCACAATTACCCCGCTCAAGTGGTCTCCCCCTTAACATGATGGTATCGGCCCTGCTATCTGCCGCCAGGCCACGGGAGAAGAAATGAGAAGGGACCCATGTCTCTGGGCTAGAAGCTCTACGCCCGGTGCTCTGTTGGGCGGGGCTCTCGTCCAATCGCAGCCCCGCCTTGCGAAACGCTGCTGCTCGGAACTGCCAAGGCCCGACTGTCACGTCCTGCGGACTTTCCTCCCCGATGGACGCGTGACACAGTGATACAGTAGTCGGCTAAGTCTCTACACCCAAGTGATGTTAGTCTTCGTTAACTTGGCTCATGCTTCTCCTGTGGTCTGTAAAAATGCTAATGAGGGCGTGCAGCTTTAACCTTCGCAGGGAAAAGCGATGGGGCCGCCGCGGCCGCCCCTGCCCCGAGCAGGGCACCCGAGACCCCGGGCAACTGCGGATTCTCCAGTGACACTTCAGGGCCCTTTCTTTGGCCACCTGGGCTGAGGACCAAACTCTGATCAGGTGATGAATGGGAAGCAACACAGCTTTGCTGAGCTGGTTCGAGGGGGAAGGGGCCAGCACGCTTTTCCCTGCCTGTGGGGTGACTGCCTGTTACCAGGTAGGCCTGCCCTCAGATCCCGGGCTCCCGGGGGCTGGGCCTGGGCTTCTGGTCTCCTTCAGACAGCAGCGGGTTAACTCGGGGTGAGGATCGCAGGCCCTGGGGCAGAGCCCTCCCGGAGGGTGGCTGCCCCCCTCGACCTCCTGCTCCCTGTGCGCTGAGTCCCTCTTAGGTCCTCTGGCAAGAATGTGGCCCCCTGGTGCTGGTCACGCACCTTCGGTCCCTGACACTGACAGGCGCGGCTGGAGGCCTGGCCGTGGATCACACCCCGGGGAGGGTCGGCTTCCTGAGGAGACGGTCAGGGTGGGGGCGGACTGGGGTCCAGCGCCCTGCATCCCCCATTGCACCCTGGCTGGGGCCCTGGGACAGTTGCTGTGGAGTCGCCCCCTGGGGCCGGGGGTCGCGAGGCAGGAGCCCTGTGGGGTCGGCACCCCATGCTCAACAGGGGAGCCCCGTGGTCTGAATTCTGACTTCCCCGTCCTGCTATGGAACACTCCACGGGGCACGCACCCCCTGCTCCTCCCGCACCCCGGGCAGCGCTCGCCCGGCCTGGCCCGGCCACTCAGAAGGACAGCTGGGGCCCTGCAGTCAGGGGCGCCGGGGCTGGGATCGGAACCCCGGTCCTCCGACGGCAAGCGCCCCACCCTGAGCAGCCGCCTCCCTTCACTGCCTGCCTCCGCCTCCAGCCGGTGCGCCCACGCGCAGGGGGCCGGTGCGCCAGGGATGCGCACACAGGGGCGCGCACAGGTGCGCATGAGACACACACACTCATCGGTCACCTGCTCCCTGGGTCTGAGGCTCTCGGGGGGATGCCACACTCACAGCCCCTTTTTTCACTTGCATGGCACTTTATAGTTTTAGAAACCGTCTCACTTGTACGAAGTCCTTTGAGGACACCAGGACTGACTTAAAAATCGCAGAGGGTAACAGGTAGCAAAGTGAAAAGGACATTTTGTTTACTCCTAGCTTTTGATCCCCACTTCCCTGAAGACATGAACCCCCAGAACTCCGAGCATAGGGAACTCGATTCTGGGTCGTCCCTGCTGAGCTCGGAGGAGCATTACCAAGCGCCCAGCCTCCCCGAGGGCCCTGTGGGGGGCAGAGATGCGGGAGGCCTGTTATTCCAGGACTCGCCTTGAGGAGGTGTAGGGCTTCCTGTCGTGGCGGCTTCGCGTGGGCCCGACTCTGGGGCACTGGTTTTGGGGGGTGACCTGCACACCTCGGCTGTCAGGATCAGATCTCTCACTTTGGAGTTGCTACCAACACCAGCTAACTACCCAGGCATCCTCCTGAGAGACATGCCGAGTCCACTCTGTGGCTTTTGGGGCTGGTGGCCCAGGTGACCGTCAGAGTCACAGAACGAAGAGTTGGGAACACTCTCCTACCCGACTGGGGAGCCAGCACCCTGCGCAGCTTGTCCAGTGGACGCGGACGCTTTGCTGCGAGGAGCCCCTCCCCCAGGAATGCTGTTCTCAAAGCAACAGGGGCTCTGGGCGCAGAGAGGCTCTGGGAGTAAGAAAGGCCCCGCGCCGAGCAGGGCGCCCCACGACCCTGCCCCCAGGGGCCCTTCGCAGAAGGCGGGAGCCCCCGTCTCCCCCTGCCGGATCCACTGAGTGGCCGGGCAGGGCCCTGGGCGGAGCTGCGAGGAACAGCGGGAGGTGCCCTGCCCCCACCCCCTGCACCTACAAGACAGAGTGAGATGCCCTGGTGCCGCGGGGGCCTGAGCCCATGCGCAGGGACGTGTGACAGCCTGTGTCACCCTCCCGCTGCAGCCGAGCACTGGCAGGACGCTCCAGGTGCGGCTCCGGGCCCTGCGGAGTGACCGCCGGCCTGCTGAGGAGCCCGGCCCGGGGTCTGGCTCAGGCAGGGAGGAGAGACGAATCCTGTCCACACTG